TTTTCAAAGCAATGGGAATGGTGCAGACTTCTTTCTTAGAAGTAAGAACTGTAAACATCAAATGCAGTAGCTAAAGAAACAAAATTGTTTAATATAATAACAGAAAAAATAATAAAGTCAATTGAGTCTCCAGTATTGTTATACTCTAAAGATGCAAATCTAAGATCCAACCTTGCCAAAATTCTGTCTTTTAGGAATTACATGAATGACAGCCTGCGAACAAATGTGTTTGTTCGCTTTCAGCCAGAGACTATAGCATGTGCTTGCATTTATCTTGCTGCTAGAGCTCTGCAGGTGAGTGGTGTTCTGCCTTTCTATGGACTTTTCTTGAAACTGAATTTCTAGCAATTAGATAGTGAAAATGCTTGCATTGTGATCCGTGATCTCCAATTCAGGTTTGCTCTTTATTTTCAGATTCCATTACCTACCCGCCCGCACTGGTTCTTGCTCTTTGGCACTACAGAAGAAGAGATCCAGGAGATATGCCTCACAACTCTGAAGCTCTACACCAGAAAGAAGGTACCTTTGTGATGTGTTTGTGTTCTGGGGCTGCATTTGCTGTCACGTGAGCTGTCTCATCTGTCTGGGAATGCTGGGGAGCATCTCCACGCAGAAGCAGTTATAAGGGCTCTGCTGTGTGACTGTTTCTCTCCAGGGAGGGGGTGAGATCAGATGGCAGAAGCTCAGAAGTGAGTTGCATTGCTGGGCAGGCGGTTACGAGAGCCATGTTGTGGAGAAACGGGATGGAAATACAGATTGAAGTTTAGCTTTATGCCTTTTGTTACTTTAATAGCCCAATTACGAGTTGCTGGATAAAGAAGTGGAAAAAAGGAAAATGGCACTACAGGAAGCTAAATTGAAGGCAAAAGGCTTAAATCCGGATGGAACTCCAGCACTTTCGACACTGGGTGGCTTTTCTCCAGCATCCAAACCATGTAAGCTGGTTTTCTTGTACAGCGACTTGCATGATACTATTTAAGACTATTTGAGCATTTTAAAACTGTACTGTTTAATTTGTTTTAAACGTGAATTTGTTCGTTGAGCTGCAGGACAACTTAGACTTTCTTACAGAGCTAAGAATCAAGAGAAATGTTTCCATGGTTATTGATGAGTAAAATAGCAAATTAGAGGGGAAATAAAGCTGTTTTGCTCTCCCTATCATCTATACTTCCACAGAAGGGACAGGGACATACTACTGATATGTTGCCTTCAGATGTCTAGACTAGGTGTGCTGTACATTACTGTGTTACAGAGTCTCTGGATTTGATGTGTTGCAGGGCCCTAATAGGTTCAGGGCTCCTTTTGTAGCAGGTGTTTCTGCAAGCTGCTTTTCTGAAATACCTTTAAGGCAGGCTGTGGTCAGGAAGCAGAAGGGGAAGTCACAGCAATGGCGCTGTTGTGGTGTCACAATAAAACCCTATAGTGCAAATCTTGAGTCAGGCAATAGATAAAGCTGTCTGAATTCAATGCTATGAAGAACAGACAGTTTTGTCTGGTCAGTCTTACCTCTTGATGGCCCTCTTTCTATAGGTGCTCTTCAGGAGCTTGAGAATGTATTCTGAGAAAGCAGAATTACTTTGTAACCGTCATTTCTTGAAAACTGAACATTGCTGAGTTAGCAAGTGTAAATTTCTCACTAAAAAACGAAAGGGCTTCCCTATATTTGGGAAGTCAGAATTTGGCTTAGAAGAACTTGAGTGAAGGCAGGGCCTGTGGTGGGGTGTTCAGCATCCTACTAACAGACAGCTCAGGGACAGCTGCTGACAAAGCTTTGCCTTCCTATACTTTGTCAGTAAACCTGTGAGCCCTACTGAGTGAGGAAGCTGCGGTACAAGTGGAGTGCAGCTGTCTGTAGGGCAGCTAGCAGCGTGTGGCCCCCAGTGGTAGTGTTTTCCATGATATTTATCAGTTTCCCATCCACAGAATTAGATGGGTGTGTAGCACACTTAGCCAAGCCAATGACAGTCTTTCAAATGGGAGAAGCCTATGATCTTTGGCAGGGGATGTCTCAGTGTGGGTTATGAACTGAAGTTTTATTCTTCTATTTGTTAGATTTGTACTAAGCATCTGAAAACAAAATATGTAGCTTTGCTGTGCAGTCTTGTTTCTATTAGCTGTCATCATAACAATTGAACATGTGTGTCTCTGCCTGTGGGCATCTCCATCACTGTGCTGTTCTCAGAGGGAGAAGGAAATAGAATTGTACAATTATGAAAGTTGGAAAAGACCGCTAAGATCTAACAGTCCAACCATCCACCTCCCACCAGCATAATCCATTAAGTCATGTCCTCACTACCACATCTGCCCTTTCCTTAAACACCACCACAGATGATAAATAGCAGCTCTTGAGTTCCTGTTTGCCCTTTGTCCAAACACCAGTGACAGTATATATAAAAAGAAATACAGTATGCTTATGACAAATTCCAAGTGAAACATCTAATCTTGAATTTAAATCTGTAGCTTCTCCAAGAGAAGTGAAAACTGAAGAGAAGAGTCCGGTACCTTTGAACACCAAAACCATTAAAAAAGAGCCAGAAGAAAGGCAGCAAGCTTCAAAGAGCCCGTACAACGGGTAGGTGAAGAAGCTCTCCTGTTTGAAGAGACTTTGCTCTCTTCAACTGAATTACTTCTGAGTTGTCTAATGGAAGTGATGAACACGTCAGAAGGATAACCCTGTTTCTTTCTTCCCCCTTGCAGCATGAGAAAAGAAAGCAAGAGAAGTAGGAGCAGCAGAAGTGCAAGTCGGTCCAGGTCAAGGACAAAGTCCCGGTCTCGGTCTCATACTCCCAGGCGGCAGTAAGTGGTGCTTTTTGTTTGGGTGCTGTGGGGGGCAGTTGTTTGTTGTTGTTATGTTTTATTGTGGCTGCTTTTTTTGAGGAAGGGGGTGACAGGTTGTCATTTCCTGTATTTTGTGGGATCTGAGGGGAGCTGTGCGGGGAGAGGATAAGGCAGTGTTGGGCTGATGGCAGATCTGATGATGTGATCTGCTTTTACACTTCATGTTCATAATTTGGAGTGGAAACAGCTAACTTAAATGTCAATAAAATGTTCCTTAAGTGTTGCTGATTTGGTTACTGATGTTGAGGGGAGAGTGTGTGACAAGGTAGAATTGCAAGATATGCCACATTGTGGTGTTCTGAGAATGCCACCATTGTCCATCAGTTAGCTCCCCTGCACAAGGGTCATTGATTTCTCCCAGTAAACTGGAAGCTTCTAAACAGGAAAAATAAGCTTTTGTGGGTGTGTGAATGACACGTTTTAACCTTGTAACACTCCTCTGTAAGCTACAATAACAGGCGCAGTCTGTCTGGCACGTACAGCTCGAGGTCGAGAAGCAGATCCCGCAGCCACAGCGGCAGCCCTCGCAGGCACCACAACCATGGCTCTCCGCACCTGAAGGCCAAGCATGGCAGGGAAGAGCTGAAGAGTGCAAACAGACACGGCCACAAAAGGAAAAAGTCTCGTTCACGGTCGCAGAGCAAATCCAGGGATCATTCTGATGCTGCCAAGAAACACAGGCATGAGAGGGGGCACCACAGAGACAGGCGTGAGAGGTCCCGCTCCTTTGAGAGATCCCACAAAGGGAAACATCACAGCAGCAGCCGGTCGGGGCACAGCAGGCACAGGCGCTGAGCAATGAGCCTAACTGGGTTCCGGTGGAGCCTGTATATAATACAGTGAATGGACTCATTGGAGAGCAAGGGAATCGATTAGGATTTGATTAATTTAAACCCAATATCTGATTTTTCTAAAACAATTAGAGCGTTTTTCTTTTGGGAAAGAAACTGTTACCAACTTTTGCACATAATACCTTAGCAGTATCAGACGGATGGAAAACAGCGATCAGGTTAAACTGTATGTATTAGAGTTGTGTATTGTTTATTGATATGAGAACTGGAGAATGGATTTCTGTACAAAAGTGAAATGTACCTTATTTTTATACAAGTCAATTGCAGACACTTATATTTAAGTATAGTTATTTGTTTAAACGATGGTGGATACTTTCTTACACTGGTTTTAGTCTGCATGTGTTAAAAGATTTTTACAAGAAATAAAATCTAAGGCTTTTTCTACTGCCTATTGGATGTCAAATACTGAAGCTACTGAAAGAATTTTCTTCAATGTAGTGCTTTGAAGGTTGGATGTGAATGGGACGCTTGGGATTTTGACATGCTTCTGTTGTGGTTAAAAGGCTTGGAGTAACTTAGAGGGAACCTTAGAAAGCATCAGAAGTTCATGTGCTGCTTAGCAGGGTAGTAGGAAGGTGGACACAGCAGTTGGAAGATGGGAACATAGAAATGGGCAGAGCTCAAGGAGAGGAGCAGCAGGTGGGAGTGGACAGAAAGGTTGAGAAGGGAAAGGGCTGCAGTTCACAGAACATGGAGTCCCAGCATTCTGGCCAGCTGTGCCATTGCCCTGTACCTCCCTCAGCTGCTGCAGCCAGGAGCTCATGTTGTGCTGTCTGCTGCTCTCTGCCTCCTCTGGCACGGTGGAGCTGGAAGCAGGGCAAGAGACTGTTCAGGGCTTTCTTCCCTGTTTTCATTACTGGTGGCAGGTTGGTTGCAGGGAAGGGAGGAGTTGTTTATAAGCATTTTAACTTTGATCCTACTGCAAATACACATCTGTGGTGAATGTGCCAGAAGTGGCCGCAGGTCTGCAACATTTTCCCTATCCCTGCATCCCCATCTTTGTCAACACAAAGAACTGCACTGTGCTGCAATGCTGCTCCCAGTGGAAGGTCCACAGTGTGCTTCGTGTGGCTGTAGTGTGCAGGTGGATGAAGCCTGAGGCTATGTAAGCTGACAGAGCATCTGTGCTTTCAGGAGCAGGATGTGGTATGGCCAGGAATTTGCACAGCTCAGAAGAGATGGGAAGGTGACTGAGCAAAAGCTTCTCTGGAGCTGCTGTGCTCGTGCAGCAGGACCTCAGGCAGCTGCCTGCACCCCAGCTGCATCCATTCGCTAGAAATTCAGAAAGTGACTTTTTCAAAAGTTGGAAAAGATAAATGTGTTCCTTTATTTCTTGGTTACCTCTTTAAAATATATGTGTGTATATATATATTTGCAGTAACTTGGTTTGTACTTAGAACTTCCTGAAAGCAGCAGTGTTATGTTACTATGGAAATGAAGGTAACTTTTCCATAGATACAAGTGTGGAGCCATGGGCAGCCATAACAGTCTGGCTTCCAGGCAGCACAGTTAGCTCAGGCTCTGGTGGGTGGCAGAAGTTTGTGTCTTGTAGTGAAACTTTAAGGAAGAATCAGCCTCTGTGTTGGTGTTTGTGTGTAAGCACTAATTACCCTTCTGTGCTCCTAGTGCCCTCGCTCCAGAACTGAGGAGCAGGAGTTGTCTTCTGTATAAAGCTGGAACATCTGGTGATGGGGAACATCTGGGCACCATCTGCTGCAGATTGCTTACACAGGCAGCTAGCAGGGGTTTAGTGCTTGTCTCTTCTTTCCTGGGGAAAAAAGATGTGTTCAATCAGCTTTGCTAATGGCAGCCTTAACCATGTAATGACTGCCAAAAATGGGCCCTAAAATAAATAGTTTTGGTTAATGAAACAGAAGGAGATGAACTGTCTTAAAGTGTTACTTTACCTGGGTCAACATTGTGCAGTGGCATCACCGCTGAGGGAGTGAGCAAAGTCTGAGTGTTGGGTCCACAGCACTAACAAATCAGTGCATTGTAAGCCAGAGCCTTGTTTAAGGATGGCCCTGCCTTATTTTTACCACTAGACCTCCTTGTCATTAGGAGATACTGAAGTCCAAATCACAAAAACCAATCACTGGAGGATACTGTTACATGTACTCTTACATATCTCTCCTGCTTTCAGGATTAGGTCCAGGTGCTCTGGCGGCGAGAGCAGCCTTTGGGTGCCCTGGAGGCTGTTCGCTTTTGTTTTCTGCAAGGAGTTCCAGGGTGGCCAGGAAGGGGTACAGTTAAAGAATCCTCACCCTTCTCTGTCCAGGTGTGTCCCGTGGGGCCAGTACACGTGTGCCAGCACAGTGGTTCTTCCTGCAGGAAAGCAAGGAGCGAAGTGAGTGTTGCTGACAGTGTGCGTGGCCGTACAGCATCAGCAGGAGTTCAATGAGTGGAGCCTCTGCTCCCAGTCAATAGTAGCTTCTGTCTGCTCATCTTTTGCAATTGGTGTATGCTCTGTACTCTGCAGAGCCCTATGGAACACGCACAGTGAAACCATGTTTAAGGTTTACCCCCAGAGTGGAAATGTTTTTATGGGTTAAAAAAAAAAAAAAACAAGAACCAAACACCATACTCTATGACACTCCACTGCAAGAGTGTTTCTTACTGTAACTGTAGGTGGAAGCAAGATGGCTCTCCCAGCTCAGGTGTAGTCCCCCTCCTCCCCAGCCCCAGCTTGACTCACCGTGCTTTCTCTTGCCAGGATGGATGAGAGCAGGAGAACCCACTTGGACTCAGTGCTGCAGTATACAGATGAAGCACAACGAAAGGTATTGCATGTCCTCCCTGTCTCCTTGGTATTTCCAGCAATTCCAGCCTCTGTTGCAGTGGCTGCTGCAGTCAGGAAGGTTGCTCGGTTGGCTCTATGGCGAGCAGATGGGCAGCAGAAGCCCCGGTTTGCTTTATGCTGGGCAGCAGATGGCAGCCAGAGGGAGCAGGAAGGCACACGGTGCTGTGCTTCTGGCAAGAAATTGTTCCAACAGCAAAGTGCTGCAAGAGCATAAAGCTGTGCAATCAGAGCTGCAATTCAGAGTAAGAGGAGACCAGGCAAAGGCTGTGGCCCAACAGATGGGGGTGCTGGGATGAGGCCGGCAGGGAGGAGCTCACACATGGGGACACAGCTGCCAGCGTCCTGGGCTAAGCATGGGGTGCTGCTGTGAGGGCTCTCCTTGGGAAATGCCGAGTGCTTCTGTACAGCTGCTGCTGTGAGGGCACTGTGAGTGCAGTGAGGTGCTGAACCTGGGGTTTGCCCCTCCTTCAATCTTGCTTTCCCTCAGGAAGTACCCACGGGGTCATGCTGCACTCCCAGGCCGTGCCCGTGGCTTGCATTATCACAGTGGAGCTCTGGTGGCTGCACCCTGTTGAGGAAAAAACACTTCTGTGAAGGAAGCACCTTCCACTTTCCAGCTCCTGCCTGGCTGTGAACCAGCAGGGCCTTTTGAAAACAGTAACATTAAGAAAAGCTGTTGTGGAGGAAAAATAAAAATCCTTATACTCCAATGGTAAGAAAAAAATTGCAGAAAACTTACCATTTTTGTCACAAAAAACAAAACTCCTCGTTGAGGCTGAGCTGCTCCCAGGGCCATCAGCTGCTCTGCTGCCATTCTGGGTTTTATTCTGTAGGTGGAAGTGTTGCAAAGCAGACGTGAGCAGCGTGTGCATGCATACACTCATGCAGCACTCTGTGCATGCAGGGCACTGCCCAAAGCAGAGTGCTGCCCAACCTGAGGCTGCTTTGGAGCAGCAGGCAGTAGCTGGGGGGTCACTTTAAGCCCTGCAGGATCACACACTGCCCCAGAGCTGCAGAAGCACCGTGGGGCTGCTCCAAGCTCTCAGCTGCCCCTTCTAGCACATCGCTCCTGAGTGCTGGAAAGGCTGTCATTTCCCAAGGGGAACGGCACCTCGTGTTTGAGGAGGGCATAGGGCACAGCTCCATAGCCAAAAAATGGCTTTGGGGAGGCAAGGTGGGGAGAATGATTTCATGAGGGACTGCTGGTCAAAACATCAGCTCGAAGCCCAGGCAGGTCACACTGCTGCATCCAGAGAGAGCGACAGCCTGCACCCCTCCCAGCCCCTGCCAGATCCAAACCAGCGCTCCATTCCATTTCCAGTTTCCATCTGTGGTGAGTTTATAACTCAACTGGACACTCGGGGTTTATAGCACAGTAGTTTGCCATCAAGGAAACCGCAAGCAACAAAGATGTTATCTCTACCATATGGTTCTTATTTGAGGAGATCTGTCAGGTTACATGAACTGACACAACACAGCTTGGGGCTGGGTGTTGTTTTACACGCACATGGGCTCCCAACACAGCAGCGCCCTGAGCATGGCCCAGATCACATCCCAGCACAGCAGTGCTGGCAATGGAGCACCCATCCTGCATGAGGGGCTTCAGAGCAGGTCCCAGCTGTGCCCCTCACCCAGCAGTGGCTGTATTTCTGAAACCTCACACAGATAAGGTACCAGGTAAGGCAGAGGAAGGGGGATGCCAACAGCAAATCCAAATATAGCACCCGAATCCAGGTGTGTGACCCTTTCCCTCCCTCACTGGCAAGACCCAGCAGCAGGACACAAGTGAGATCTCTCCAGGAGGCAGAGCTCAGCCTGGATCCCCAGCACAGTAACCAGGCTGAACAGAGGATGGGGTAAAGCAGCATGAGTGGGGCCCAGGGCTGCTTTTAGTGACATACACATAGTGTGACAACATGAAACAGCAGCAGCTGCTAGTGTGATGTAGCAAGGGAAGGGTTGCAAGTAATTCCACAGCAACTAAGCAAAAGCAAAGAGAAAGGGTGAGAAAGCATCTCACTGTAAGCACCAGGACCGCGGTCCCCCAGGACAGCTGCATACCTGCTAGGTGTGCTGTGTGTGCCAACAGAATCCTCAGTGCCATCCCCTGGTACAGTGGTGCTTCCTTTCATGAGGAGCACAGCAAAAGTGGGATATCCTCACCCTCTGAATTTCTGTGGGCTCTTCAGATGCAACTTTTGCTTCTTTTGCTTTATAGCACAGGAATTACAAAGCCCAGCCATCCCTGTGTGGCTTTAGCATCTGAATTACAGTCTCCTCCGTGCTCCAGCAGCTGCCTCAGGAACCCTCTGAGGAGGTGCTGCTGCTATTTTTAGAAGGAAGCTACAAAAACAAAACCCAAAAAAGACATCAGCAAACATAATTAAGTTGGCAACCAGCGATCTATAAAAGCAGTGAGGCAATGCTGCTACTTGGTTACACCCACAGTGGCCATAAATCATCCCCCCCATCTGATCTCTTTCTGCACGCTTCTGGGGATCGCTGGTGTTCCTGTTTTGGGGTACTGTTCCCAAAATGCACATGTGGTTCTTTGTTCAGATCTTCATGATGATTAAAGTGACCACCCTGTCCTGGTAACTTGAAACACTCTTACAGCTCACACAATGCTCCACATACACAGGAAACAGCTGCAGAAATGGATGCCTAAATGGATTCCCATCAAAGCCAATGATTCACAACAGGCAGCGCTCAGAAAGCAGCATCAGCCTCAGATTCCTGTGAGGAGAGGCAGCCCACCCTCCCACGCACCACTCTGTGCACCCTTATCCTCCATCACGTGCAGTTCTGGCAGATTTGCAGGACTTTCCACCTTCTTGTGGTATGTTTCATCTCCACATTGTGCTGCTGACTCAGTGACTCTCAGCTGACCTGGATATGGAGAAAAAGAAACAACTTTTGAGGTAAGAGAGGGCACCCCTGTGCGACTGGGGTAGTTTTGTTTCTCAGGGATGTGCAAGCAGTGCCACTGAAGGGACATGTGGACAGGACAGAGATGTGACCCCCAGCCCAAACCAGCACCAATGGAGAAGTGCTGCTCCTGCAGCAGTAGGTAGATTCCTGAAGGCACTCCTTACCCCAAGCTCTGCACCTCCCCCTCTAGGTACTACTCATTATAGGAAAGCAGTGTTAAGCAAAATAAATCACTTTCCACTTCACATAAATTGGGAGTTGGAAAATCCCATGTAGGTCACAGGCTGCTGCCAGCAGGGCTGCTCCTGACTGCCCATTTTCCATGGCTCTTTCCTGCCCACCCCCATGACTCAGGCCAAGGGGCTCTTCCCATCCCCCTGAGGGCCAGCACAGCCTCAGGACATTTTCCTCTGTGCTGTGCTGAAACTTTCCTCTGCTAAATGTCATCACCCCATGACTCCCAGCCAGACCACCCCACACTGTTCCACACTTTCTCTGCTGTTTACTGCTGCAGTTTTTGTTCACTGAAGGAGAAGTGGCTGTGGCTGCTGCTGAACACAAGTGCTTGACACCCACCAAAACTGAGCCATCCCATCCCATCAGGACAATGCCATGATGCTGAGAGAGGGGCCACCTAATTTTTGATTTGGGTCTCCATGCTTCCTCCGGCCCAAAGCCTCCAGTTTGGCCCTGAAATGATGGGGATGGGGTGAGCTGCTAGGAAAGCTGTATCTCAGGAAGCAGCAGAAGGGGACAGGGTAAGGGACAGGAAGTGTGGACCTTGGCTTTGAACACATGTTCTACTCTTACCTTTGCCATAAAAAACCACATTTCCCAGATTTACCATAAGTAACTGCTCCCAGGTGGAAAAGGGCCAGCATGCTCCATGCTCCGCTTGCTCTCATCTGTCCAGGTGTCCTCAGCCAGCTTCAAGCAGAAGGGCATATCGAGCCATCTGTATGCAGAAATGTGGAACTGAGAGCCAGCCCACAGTTTCAGTGCACAAGGTTTGGCAATATGCACAACAGGTCTGCCAGGGACAGGACAGGCACCCTGGCTTTCACAGATAGGCTTTGAGAAATATTATTTTGCATGTGAAATCTATGCTGAAGTTACCAGTCACCTAACGGCACTCAGATTGAAATGGCTGCTAAGAATATTGCCCAAAGTTACCAAACAGCATAAAGAATACAGTAAGCCAAAAAACTAGAAAACCACGTGGGACAAGAGGCAATGGCTACAAGTTGTACCAAGGGAGCTTCAGGTTGTAAATCAGGAAAAATTTCTTCTCTGAAAGCGTGGTCAGACACTGGTACAGCTGCTCAGGGAGCAGCGGGGTCACCATTCCTGGAGTGCTCCAGAACCGTGGGGATGTGGCACTGAGGGATGTGGGCACTGCGCATGGTGGGCTGAGCTGGGATTGGGGATCTCTGAGGTCTTTTCCAACCATACTGATTCTGTGATTCTAAAGCACAGACAGCTCCAGCTCCACGTGCTCCATTTCAGCAAAAGGCACTGGCCAAGTTGTCCATGATTGTAATTGTGCTGAGAGCAAACTGCTTCCACAGTCGACCTGAAGAAACCCCTTAAAAGTGCACGCCTGCCCCATCTTATGACCAATATGCTTCATTATCTCCTTTTGTACTTTGTTCAGAGGTTGTTTGCATCATTACAGACCTTTCACACACGCTGCTGGCCTCAGATTGCAGATGGTTTCTTTGCATGCACTGTAATCAGGCACTGACACTCCTGTTGGTGAGCTCCTCTGAATGCTCAGCAGCAGCACACAGCCTACCACGCCCTGCAGGGCTGCAGCCAGCAAGAAATGGAAAGTGAAATGTCCTGAGTCTGCTGTATGCAGCTGTGCCTTCTGCTCAGTGCGCCGCTTGGATTCCAAACTGTCACTGCTGCCAATCCGTATCTTTGTCAGGACTGAAATAAAAGCAACCCTAACAAATTAGTGTTCAGTAGCGTGCAAACAGAAAACTTGAAACGCATTGAATGTTTGGAAATAACAGGTTCCTCTAAAGGAACCAGTTCCTGTAAATTTATGGGATTGAGGAACCAGAAACAACAGGTTTTACAGGCTAAAATGGATCTGTCTCATTGTTTAAGTTCCTGACACTCAGAAATTAATGGATTCTGGGGAGATACTGAAATCTACACAGCTTCCAAAGCAGCTTGCAGTGCTCAACACCCTGTTCAAAACACAAATGCAGCACAGGAGAAAAAAGTGTCTCCACGCTATGACCTGGCACTGCTCTCAAAAGGTGACAGCTCACCTGAGGCTGTGCTGCAGCTTGGAGTGAATGCTCAAACCTGAGCTGGTGCCACTTCCTTGTGCCATCAGACAGGCTTCATGCCCAGAACACCTCCTGCATCAACACATCCATTCGGTTCTGAATTCTATTGAGTGCATGGCAGAGAACACAGAGTAGACATCTGATCAACATGTCTGTCTGTTCACAATCCCTGCTATTTCACAAGCAGACCAAATGCTGCACAAGGACCAGATGAACAACTTCTGTTGCTCAGCATTTGCTCTGTTTAAAAGCTGCCCTGCATATAGATCAAGGCTGAATTTCAACCTGTCACTTATTGTGGCCTGTAGTGCAAGGAGCAAAGCACGTGGTGTGACAAGGCAACAGTACAAAGCCTGCCACATACATAGAGGGAGGTACAGTGAGGACCTTCAGTATGAAGGCAAAGAACAAATACAATGCATGCAACACAACCCATGGCTTACAAAATCTGATAACGGCATCATTTTCCCAGCACCCATCACAGCATGCATTGCTCACTCCATTGCAGCACGTTGCTCACCCCAAGCTCCTCTCTGCCAAGCACCTCTAATTAGTATTTTCCTAACTTTTCCACGTGAAGCACATTGTGAAAGACTGTACGACTAAGTCAGTGTAAAGCAAATCACCACCAGGTATGGTCTGTGTATTAGAAGTTAACTTCTAACCACATGTGCTTGCTTTTGCTAGTGAAGAACTGATGGAATTGGACTGGGTTTAGCTGAATGGCTACAGTGAGATCCTGCCACATGTTACAGAAATAAGTGTTACTTCTGTAGGCTCCCCAGCCATCATCCCTTGGCTTACTGGCAAGCAGCACAGCCACATCCTGGCACTGACCTGAACTCAGCAGCAATTCAAGGTTCCAGATGGAAAACTGCAGCTTTGGAAGATCTGTGGCTCGCTCCTGTCAGAAGATAGGAGGTGTCTCTTGAGATAGAGAGGAGCAAAAACACCCTGCTGGATCTGGCCACACTTGCTCGGAAGCGGTTTCTTTTCATTATCTGGGAACAGTTCACAGTGCAATGCCAGATGCCCATGTTTTCCATCACACAAATTGTATTTCCGGTGTTAAAACCTCTTCAGCATTAATCTTTTACAGCATCCTTTTTATTATCCTATCAAAATTAATTTTGTACTGTGCTTTGAGGATGAAAAAAGCCACATAAGTGCTAAGTATGTTTGGTTCCATTACTTCACGGCACTGCGGTTGCATATAGTTTATCCTTTCATTAGCAGAATAAACTCAAATAACAGCAGCAATTGAAGACACAAACTAACATCAACTTTTCATTCTGTAAATAAGTTTTTAAGCAACTGAAGATAAAGATATGCAGCTTTTGTTCGAGACAGGAAGTTTCCCTGATTCCATTCTTACACTTTTTCTTTTGCATTAAGGGCAGGCAGTGCTTTCTGCAGCACACTGCAGGCTGTAAAGGGAACTATAAAACACCAGGAGCCAAAACAAGAATTTAAAGTGAAGAATATCTCCCAGCACAACCACTTCTTTAAACGAATGCCTGCCTGCATTTCCTTCTGATTAATACATTTTACTGACCCAGGGCACTGGGTCCAGCTATTTCCATACACTTTCAAGGCTGCTAAGACACCACAATGATTTTTTCCTAAGTCTGCTTTCTTCCTCTGCAGAACCACTCCACATGCCAGCCCCGGGCTGCACTGTTGTTGCACTGTGTTGCTCTGAGCTCTGCTCCCAGCCCTGCTGCAAACCCTGGCCTCCTATCCTGCTATGCAACATGGCAGCTACTAGCACAGTCAGTGCTTTACAGAAAGATTCAGGACTCCATTCTCAACCAAGCAACAACATCAGCTCTGCCAAGGAACAACAGAGCAGCCTTTGCATGAAGCAAACTCACAGCCACAGGCCACTTTCCTGCAACCTTGAGGAGTGAGAGGATGGCTGCTTCCTGCAGGCAGCTCAGGAGCCACAGAGGCTGATTTGTTCCAACTTTGTGGTTTCCAGTATTCCCTGGTGCCGTGAGTCCTAGAGTGCAAGGTCCAGCATAAAAAAACCCATTCATAAATGACACAGCTTCTACAAAATGCACTGCCTCCAGGAAGCTGCATTTCCTGAAATGTGGGGATGGAATTAGCTGCCTGCCTTCTCCATGGCACTCTGCTGCTCTGCTTCACCCCATTGCGAGAAATGCTTCGTAAACTTTCCTTGACTTTGTGAGGTCACTTTGTAAAAACTGTGAACAAGGTTTCCTGATATTAATCCACTTTGTTTATTGCTCCGGGTTTCTGCAAGCTATGGAAATGAGGGAAATCTTAGCCCCTGACTCAGTGGGGTTCCATGATTTATGCTCCCCACCATGCTACAAACATTATTTCTGTGACTGCTCTCTCTATTCCACATGCTACTCCTTTCCCGTGATTTATGAACGTACAGCCTTCCTTAGAGAGGTGTTGCAGGACACAACCAGCAGCCAGGAGCCCAGCTCTCAGCCCTGTGCACAGCTCTGCAGCACTGGACAAGATGGGCCAGCACCAGGCAGAGCTGGGCATTCTGTGCACAGGAACAGAGCCAGGGTGGCTGCTAACCCAGCTCTGCTCTCTGCTTTAAGTACAGAGGCATTACTGTGTGCATCTCACTTCTTCAATACAAAAAATCCAGCATTAAACTCTCAATTATATCAACTGTCACAAGCGTTCACCCTCATGTCTGTTCCACAGTGGTCTGAGCAAGCAAAATAAAAATTAATGTACTGCATAATTTAAATGTTCTCTAAGTATATAAAATAAAATTGAAGTTCATCTAAGAGTTTTATTTAAAATTGACACACTGGAACTCACCATTTTAGGAGCTGCCTCAACAAAGGTCTGCTCCTTCAGCACAGGAAGACTGCAGGTAGGTAACAGTAACAGCTTTCAAGCTCAAAGAAGTCAGGATTTCTCCTAAACAACAATAAAATTAATCATTCTCAGCAAGCACAGAAGGGAACATCCAATCATTCTTTGTGCCTCTGTGGAATGGCTGAAAAATGGATTTCACGAAGCTGTGTTTCACTGGAATTACTTCCACATCTTTCAGATTGCCATTTTTCAACATCTTTAAGAAAAAAAAACCTAAAACACAAATTAGTGACGAAAGCCACTTACCTGGGACTTTGCTTCCCAGGTATCTCCACTGTGTCTATGATTGATTGTTGCCACTGAATTCTTGCTGCTTTCTGAATTTGAGAATAGGGGATTTCTGAGCTTTTGGATGCACTCTGCTACCACTGAGATCAGTTAAGGTTCAGTAATGGAAAGGATCAGTAAAGGTTCAGTGGGAACAGAAGCTGAGTAAGACAAAGCACACCTTAAAATCTAGCCCAGGATGCTAAATCTACAACAGTTGCTTCTCCCACTAATTTTATTATGTGACATGTATTCCCTGCTATGCCACTGGATTCAGCAAAGCAATTCTAACTTACTCCAGCACTGAAGCGACATGTAGTCACTTCAGCACACACAGGGCTATCTCACCACTCAGAAATAATATAGTCAATGTTCATGGTGCAAGTATTTGTGTTTACAAGCATCCTGCAAAGCAGCAACTTCCAAACATAGAGAGAGCCCAGTCCTAAAACCCAACTAGGAGCAGGCAGCCTCAGTGATCCTGCTGCTCACATGCTCTGACAATCCCTAGGATGCTCCTTTCCAACTTACCCCCAGCTGAGTAGCTCAGGTCCGTGCTGGCACTGTTGGGAAGATGGCTGCAGCATCTGGGGGAGGCTGCCCAGGCAATGGGTGCACACTGCTCCATGAAATAATGGCATATAACTGGTTCTAACCAAACAAATTGCATTTTTACACCAGAAATGCACAATGAAGTTACAAGGGACAACACACAAAATTGGAAAATTCCACAAAGTGCTTTAGGGAGAACAGCCTTTGAAGTTGGTAATTATTTTAATTACACTTCTTGAATACGTGCACCTTTTTGAGAGGCAATTATTTTTTCATTCTTACTTTTCCCATCTTGGAACGTAGATAGCATTTAATTACATTGATACGCAACGGACAAATAAACATTATTGCATCAAAAATATATCAGAACGTAACTTAATTCTCAGCTGTAGAAATGCACCAAGTTCATCAGGCAACACCTGAGGCCCAGGGCCAACAGTTCAGTGGCTGACACACTGCAGAGCTTCCCCACGTGTCAGAGTTGGCTCCGCTGCCTTCTCCTGGCCGCAGTCTCCCGGCCTCTGAGAGCTGGCAAAGTCACACTGCTGGGCCTGCCAGGGAGTGCCTGCACAGCTCGGGGAATACCGACCTGCCCAGAGGGATGGATGGCCTTCCCTGGGCCGGGGCGGCTGCTGCGTCCGTAATCAGCACGCAGGGCAGGGGAGGAGGTTAGGCTGCCCTGAGCCAGGGAACGCGGCGATAAAGGGAAGTTTCCACTGAGCTTTCTGAGTTGCAGTACTTGTTCCCTGGCTTGAGTCAAAGCTGCAGTCAGCTCATAGCGTTCCTCGCACTCTCTGCGCACCGTTTCCTGGAGAAGAGTGTTCTGCAAACAGAAACAAACCTTCACTCTGCAAAATGCCATTAGCGTGTCTGTTAAATTCCATTGGTTCAAGGCAGGGTGCCTGGAGGGCACCGAGGCATGGAAAGCCTTCAGTGCTTCCTAGCACTTTGTTTTCTCTGGAAGTTACTCTGATGACATATGCTGGTATTTACACACACATCCTTATCTCAGGAGACAGTGGAAAATCTGAGGTAAGTCCTGAGGAGCTCTTCCTGCCCATCTTCCAAGCACAGGGAAGCCAGGAACCCTGCTCCTGGAAGCACCAAGGCACAGAGTCCAAGCACTCCACTGCAATAAGATGCTTCCAGTATTTCAGCAATGGTGAACTGCCTTTTTTGGTGACTACACTGATCATTAGTTTCCGGATGACTGAGAAAATGAGTATCCACCTAGTATTTTTCATGAATTTTTCACTGCGATTACCAAAACCCAAATAATAAGCAACCAGCAGTGGTCCTTGAGCAGAAAAGCGTTATACAAATTCCCAGGCTGCTATGATATATGGTATATGACATAGAACTTACTTGTGACACTGACTTTTCTGGTTTCCAGTTGAAATCAAAAGTCAATGAACAACAAAGAGCAACGTGACTAAGTCGATTCACACAAGCCAGAACCACTGACAGCATTGATGCAAACAGAAAATGGTCGCTTCCCTAATTTTGCTCTCCTAAGGAAGAAGTTGCTGCTGACTGAATGGAGCAGGACAATGGAAGGTGAGCTACCAGGACGGTCTCTGACGTGCAGCACGATGAGCAACTCAGACAGAGAACATTCTCAGCCCCAACACCTGCACAAACATTTTGAGTAAACCTCTAGCGCTGAAAGTCTGAGCTGTGTGAGTCTGACCACACACCACCCCCAGGAGAGAACAAATGAGTATCTGAAATGCTCTCCATCGTTATGGCAGTGGGCACAGAAGGAAGATTCTCGATCAATATTCAGTGCTCACTGTGAGCCCTTCCCCCAGCTACAGGAAGAGCAGCTGCCAACATCTCTGTAATCCACAAACACAGTGCTTCCAAACCAAGAGTTAATTCATTTTGAAGTTTCATTTTCATTGTTTATCCATTTTTTTTCCTGCCACTAATTACTTTGGACATTCCAGTCTAATCTTATCTGCAGCCCCCGACTTCACTGTTTTCACGTTTCTCATACAGCAGTATGGCTCTCTCCCTGCCCTTCCCATCATATTCCAAACATTCAGCAAATGCTTGTGGTAAGAATATGTAGCAGTCACATTTCTCTTCATATAATGAATCGCTCGTATGCATTTCTGTGCTACAGAAAGTGGGTTTACTGGTGACAAGTGGGACAAAGGCCCGTTAGCACAGCACGATGTGGGCAATGTGCTCCCACCACAGAAGAGCAATCTCTGCCCCACACGCCATGCAGCACAGGGCAGCATCCACTCATTCCTATGGACTGCATGAAGATTTTTCTTACTTATTTTGGAAATATTGGACATCATTGTGGCCTTCCAATACTCGAAGGGAGTGTAAAAACAGGAGGGGGAACAGCTGTTTATATGGGTGGATTGTGATGGGACAAGGGGGAATGGTTTTAAACTGAGACAGGGGAGGTTTAGGTTGGATATTAGGAGGAAGTTTTTCCACCCAAAGGGTGGTGAGGCACTGGAACAGGTTGCCCAAGGAGGCTGTGGATGCCCCACCCCTGCAGGCATTCAAGGCCAGGCTGGATGTGGCTCTGGGCAGCCTGGTCTGCTGGTTGGTGACCTGCACACAGCAGGGGGTTGGAACTAAATGATTATTGTGGTCCTTTTCAACCCAGGCCGTTCTATGATTCTATGATTCTAATTTTAAAGATTTTTTTTCTTACAACAGCATGGACCAAGCTCTGAAATAAGTGTTCTTTGAATGATCCCAGCAATCACATGTCTCAAAGCAAAAAGAACATGCAAGGCACTTCCTTGGTCACATTCTTACCTCCTCTTGCACTTGACTCAAACTGTGAATCAGCTGCGTCCTCTCCTGGGTTAATTCTTCCAATTCATCTGACTTGTGTTTAATTTCTTTCCTCATATTATCCAGTAATGATTCGTTATTGTTCTGTTCCACCTTCAGCTGAAATTCAAGTTCAGTAATCAGCCTTTTAAGGCTCTGAATTTCTTTTTCTTTCTCTTTATCTTTCTCTGCAAGTTTGATCTGAACATCTTGCAGCTTCTTTTCAAGAGTTTCTGCTTCCATCCGTAAGCTGTTGGTGGCATTGGATATTAATTCAGGTATCTGCATGGCAAATATTGTATTAGTCTAAATTCAGTGTTTATCCTGAGATAGATAAAATGAAGTATCAAACAAATACCTTCAAGAAAAATCACAAATCCAAGCACACAAGTCTTCCGAGACAAAAAAATGCTATGATAAATTGTTATTTTCAGCTCATTAAAAACAGGATGATGTAATGAATTTAAAACAACAATGTATTTTCATCACATTTCTTTGACTTTTCCATGTCAAATCTTTTGAGACATTCTAAAAGCTAAGGTTATAGATACCATTTTCAATTTTTAAGTAAAAAAAAGTTCAAAATCTCTAGATCTGGGTAATGGGAATGGCAAATTATGTGATGCAACAAGCAGTGCAGAGGAGGGAAGCTGCTAACCATCAGTGAAATGGGTCGATGGGAAGGGAAGAGGCAGTGCAGATGGCTCTGAGACACCCCATCATGGTCTCAAACAGCCCAAAGGCTTTCAAATCTGACACTGTTAGTTTAATAATAATCAGCAATTGCAGTCTGTGGACATAGATAAACCACGGAGAGAGAAAATCTGAGGAAAGCAAGAACTTCCACAGCTACACTTGTTACATATTAACCTGTTCCGTTTTCCAAAATTTCAATTGTATGCCATAGACTGAGATTGGGAAAAAATATTGCATCTTCAAGATGCAGGACTGCACATAGAGATTTTATTCCTTCACATATTGTAAACCTTTGGAAAACATCATCTACTGCCACACAACATTTCTCTCGAGCGTTACACACCTTCTTCTGGAGCTCTTCGTGATCTCTCTGGTATTTTGTGATTAATTCTTGCTGCTTTTGTCTTTCAGTGTCTAGTTCCACTCTGGCTTCTTCTTTGACTTTGAGAATTGCTTCTTTGTGTCGTGCTTCACCTTTGGCCAGATCAATCTCCACCTAGAGAACAAGTGCCTGTTGCCATGCAGCTCCTCCCAGTGAACCCACCAGAAGGTGGGGAAGGAGCACACCCAAGGAACTCCCCAGGTCCAAAGCCTGAATACCAACATTATATTTCTGCAGGCTGAATTCTAATGGACTCAACTGTAGTACGTGGAAGGAATTACAAAAGGCACATTAAACAAGCACAGAGCTATCCTAATTACTTAATATTATTAAAAGCTCAAAATGAGCTTAATTATAACCATCTAATTTCCTACAGCAATTATGATCAAAAGTGTAAAAAATTCCCCTAACACTTTTTGGGGAAAAGATAAACTGTAATATTGTCATTATTTTTAATATCAAAATATACACAATTCTGGGCACTGGGCAGGCACAAATCCCTCACCAAGACTTAGCTGACAACACATGCACTTGTGAGACCCTCAGAACAGATCACTATTTTTATAATACATACAGATGTATCTTCTACATTAATGGGAATTGGGATCCTAACTGTAGAAAAACTTACTTGTGATAAATATAATTGTACATATTGCTATCAAAGGGTCATATGTCGAAGGCTACTTAACTACTAAGAGTAGAAAAATATACATAGTATAAAAAATGGACTCATTTGGAAATGTACACAAGCACTTTTCATACTTAATACTTGGTAGTACAACTGATAACCACAACAGAAAAACAAATGGCAGCTGATCTGCAGGGAAAGCATAATGCTACTAATTGCTTTAAAGCTACTGCTGGGCTCCTCATTAACCACTTATAAAAAACCTCACAAACGTTTACATTGATTTCCCTGTTTTTCATAAAAGATTTTTTTTTCTATCCATTACAATTCAAAGTTCATCTGTATTTAAAACACAAAACTGGAACGCTCTAAACTTTGTGCAATGGCACCCTGACCCAAGGAATGATAACTCGGCCACATTTCTGACTTCTGTCTGACAAGAACATCTTTAGAGCACTTGGCATTCACTGCATTTTAATGGCTGTGATACCAAAGATGTAATTGCTCTCTCCCACCAGCAGCAGCCTTTATCTTGTACTAATGTCAAGTTGAACAATACGTTGTGATTATGCAGACAGTGTGACCTCATTCTAAAATTATATCCTGCCACAGAGAAGGTAGGAGCTTTTTAAAGAGATGTAACAGATCTTAATTGGTGGTAGTCCAAAAATTTTCTTGAGACTAAATAAAGCTTTCAGACACTTATCACATACTGCACAAAAAAAAAGACATTAATTTTTAGCTACCAATTATATAAGGCTTAAAAAAATGTGAATTATTGTTCAATAGTATTTGTGCATTTTTCCTTCACTATTTTTTCAAGCAATTTCTTCTATTGCTTTTTTGGAAAGGTGGCAGGTTACCCCAAAGCCAAAACGCTCACAGCTGCCCGTGGTAAGCAGCTGATCCATCCCACTGTGGGACCCTGACACTGCAGCTAGGTTAGCACGGAGCTCTGCACACAGCTGGGAAACCATCTGCCATCACACACTGTGGCCACACGTATCTATTTTTTAAATCAGTGGAGAATATTTTTTGACAGAAGACCTCTAACCCAAGCACACACTAAAAGATGACTGAGAAATGACAGTTCAGGCATGCAGAATGCAGTAATACACACTGAAGACAAGGCGAGGCTTGTGATAAACTTCCAGTAAGAAGATACCCATCAAGATACATTTCTGCTTGTGAGGAGCCCTTGCACACCTGATCTGTCGCTCTGATTTGAATGGAAGGCAAGTAAAGTAAAGTACATTTTTCTCATCTGCTTGTTACTTCACAGAATCTTTATGGTTGCAAAAGACCTCTAAGACCATCAAGTCCAACCAAGCTATCCCCGCTGTGCCCACTAAACCAAGTGCAGCATCTCCATGTTTCTTATCCTAACGTTTAACCTGAACCTTCCTGTTGTGACTTGAGGTGACCAGCTCTCATCCCAACACACAGATCTGTTTTACAGATCTATACCTTCAGTTTTGGTATTTGCAGCTCACCTGCAAATAGGAAGGTTCTGTGTTCTCCCTACCTCATCAACAGTGCACATGCTTGGTTTTACTGTGAAATACCCTCCATACATATCTTTCTAAGCAGACTGGTCTGGACAGAAATCCCCAGCAACATGCTCTCCTGCAGATCAGGGTTTGCAGGTGGCTGTGGCACACAGCTGGGGTGGACTGTCCACGTTCACCCCTGGGAGTTTGCACCTGGGATCTCAGTGTCTGCACTGCACATGTGGGCTCTTCACAAATACCCAACAGGTGGAAAGTCTGGACCAAACCTGACCATCCCACAAGACCACAAACACACTAAATATTTCTTACATTCAGATCCAGCCTACGTAGAGAGATCTCCAATTGTGCAGAAAGGACCTATGGACATGTTTGCATTTAAGGAGGTAGGTATCTGGCTGACTGCAGGTTCGTGACAGATGACTAGGACTGAAAAAAAGAAATTGAAATTGTGCCAACTACACATCCAGCATTACCTTCTCCCTCCAGTTATCTTCATTCCGCATCTTCTGCCTTAATGTTTCCTGCAGCTGTTCTGTTCTGTTCTGATGAGAAATCAGCATTAACTCCCTAGAAACCACAAAAACTTGTATGTAAATATGTGCTCTGCCCAGATTGGTGGCGTGCCATTTTCTTGCAATTAAGTCCTTTGTGGCAAGGGTTTCTCTTTTTCTTTGTTTAGTATTCTGTGCAGTAAGCCCAGAGGCACAACAATAATCACTACTTAGCATTTGCATACTGTTGTCACACATTTAATGAATATTATATGTTGAAGAAAATACTGCAGTTAATCATTCTTCTGCATACATACATGCAAGCCTCAACTATTTTTTAAATTTTCAAGTCAAATTAAGAACACTGAATAACTTTTATAATACTCAAAACAAATTGTTGTAGTTAACGAACTCAGAGTATTACTACAATTTATTTTTTAAAAATGTAATAGCTTCTGAATTAAAACCACCAAGTGGTTGCTATTGTTGTAGTTACTGTTTGTTATGTGAGGCTTGTAGAGCAAAAGCCCTAGAGAGTTCAAATTCTTTTAACTTACATTATCAGCAATGTACCAACTGGAACAAGTCACGTAGCTGGGGTTTAAGTAGAAGGAAAATATTCTTAAATTAACATGTAGTATCTTTTCATGCACTACCCACATACAGAGCATATTCAAACTCTTTAGGTATAAAAATAGCTTTAATGCCTCCCGGTGTACCATCACTATCTCAGAAATCCTTATCTTCTCCAAAAGCCACTATTCCAAATATATTTTCTCAAGTCAAACAAATAATATACTGCCACATTTCAAGCAGGAGGCAGCACTTTATTTTGCCAATAAAAGATAAGTTAATATATCAGTAACTGAAAATGTATTAGCAGGACGCTTTCGAATAGCAGAGACAAGCTGTGAACGTTCAGAATAAAATGAATATGTAGATTATACTCAAAGCAAATAAAAATAATGTGGATTTAGGTTGATAAGTGGAGTTCTAAAAGAAAGGCACTCAGATACCATTCCAGGAAACAATGAGCCTCAGTAGCTCAGTGCTTCATTTTCCACATCTGAAAAATAATTATAGGGAAAAGGTTAGCTTTGTTGATAGTTGAGAACTTTTGGAATAAGATTAGACTGGTGGGGTGTTGTCCACACGTTTCACTGAATACTAGATCACATCCAAAAACCTGGCATATTGTAGAATTTATAGCGTTGTTACTGTTTGCAAGTTGCTAATAACATAAGTTACAGGAATTTAAACTCTTCGGGGCTTTTTCTCTACAAGCCTCATATAACAAATAGCAGCTATAACAACAGCAATAAATAGGTGTTTTGATTAAGCTTGAGCTGGGTTGCCCTGGGTTGCATAGCAGAGGGTTGGTGTGTTAGGTTTTTCTTCCCCCTTTTTTTCTCCTTTTTACAGGCATGTTTTGTTCTACTCAGCTTTTTGTCTATACTGCAATAATTTTAAAAGTCCATCCAACGAATACAAGAGTTCCAGGATACGGGCTCAGTGCTGTCAAGGCTGTCAGAGTTCTGCCTGTAGGTACAGGCAGTGACTGAGGGCAAGGGCAGGCCACAGCTCAGCACAGTGCCCCTCTCCCAGTCTGCCCAGTACCAGAGCCAAGCTACAGTACCTGTCAGAGAGGTGAGAATCTGGCAGAGAAGGAACACACTATATTTACAGATTTCCAAGAAGAAAACCTGGGCTGAACACAGCAATTATCTGTGGTGACTCAGTTCTGGTTACCTTTCTTGCTTCAACATCACCACCTCTTCTTCTGTTTGTGTGAGAAGAGCTTTAAGTGTTTCCAGTTCACTTTCTGATTGACTGGTTCTTCTTCTTAGATCTCCTTCTCTCCTTTCCTTCTCAGCCACCTCCTCCTGCAAACGTTTGCATACTTGTTGGCAAATCAGTAGAGATTCTTCCTTCTCTTTGAGCTCTTTTGCAAGTCTACAGAGGAAATGAAAAGCAACATCACAGTTATCCGCATTCACAAACAGAAACTAAACAGATGGAAGTAAATTGTACCTGGAAAAGAAAATATTAGACAAAAAAGTATATATTCTTCATGAAGTTAAATCTAGTGATTTGAACACAAAAATAGAAACTGAAAATAGAAAAAGAATGTATAACAGCTGCATTAAAGCCATAAATAAAATTTTTGCTCTCCTTGCTCACAAATGCACTTATGCTATAAAACACAACTTCAGCATTTACCTTGACTCAGAAATTCCATTTTCATTTTTCATTTTTTTCAGTTCATTTTGACACACATCAAGTTCTGCTGATTTCACCCTAAGAAAATTAAAAACAAAGTGTATTTGTCCAAAGCAATGACAGCCTTTACTCACACAATGACCCTAACACGCTTATTAATCCACTATCTAACTTGCACTCTCTATTTTAGTTAAAAGGCAGATAAATAAAACACTCCATTACTTCTAGCTAACACTCTTCAGCAGCATATTTATACTTGCAGTGTAAATTCAGCCTAACCAGGATCACAAAAATTTAATTGCTGCAAACAAGAAAGTGTGATCTTGCAACGCCAATTAATGTTTTGGGTGGGCTAAGAATACAAAGGAACAGATAACAATTTAATATGATAGAGGTCTGGAAAATGCAAAGGTTTCCTGTAATTCTGTCATCATTTCACCAACTAATAACCATGGTTAAGCCTCCTACTTATACTTAAACAAATAGAGAATATGTCATTTTATTAAAGCAATTTAATAAACCCATATTACATTGAAATTTTAATATTACACTGAGAAACACTGTACTGTTTATTTAACTCTGTTCATGAAGTCTTTTTTTTCATGCTCAATACTTGTATTATCATTAAAATACTTTGTTGCTAAGCATTCCAAATATTTGCAACCGTGTTTTGATCAGCCCCTCTGAATATAGGAACTGAAAACAGAAAGTATGCATCATGAAAGAATCCTCCCTTGAATTTCAGGAAAACATAGAAAACAACTGCTAATATTTGGTCTCAAGGTTGGTTGCACTTTTGCATTGCCCTCCAGCTTCATATTTGAAGCTAACATTTATTTTCACTAGTGTACTACGCAGGGTGATGTTATTTCTGAATTGCACTGTGGACTTTCAATGCAGGAAAGAACTCAGAGCCCCAATCCCACAGCCCCTAGAAGTGCTGACAGCTCCCACCAAGCTCCACGTGCTGCCAAAGCACACACCAGCTGTATTGGAGGGGACCCTGGGCTCCCAAGCTGCTGCTCAGGGCAGTGTGATGGGAGCAGAACGCTCCGTGCCACAACAACATTAACAAGAGTTGCCTATTTTTCCTTATTTCCTCAGCCTTATGGCCTCCCATCACCCAGGAGTGCCAGCAGCTTGAGCATGGGCACTGCTGCAGGCACCATGTAGTTGCTGTCCATGCTCTGATGCCACCAGTTCTGCAGTGAGGACCCTCTTTGAGACCTGACAAGGCTTTGATGGCATTTTCTTCATTCTATATTAATTTAGGCTTCATATTCTAACCATGCAACACGGTAAAATTACAAACTGTAGTAACAAACCAGTGCATGGGGAATACTAGCAGTAAATTGACATTTGCAGTCCAGAAGTTGTATGCATTTCACACAATTTATCCCATGCTTAGTATTAAAAAATGAAGAGCAAAATTGAGCTGTAACCCTCCTCTTTGCTGCATCATGAGACAGCTGAGGAAGGCAAGCCCTGCTTCCATAGGCAGACGTTCACTCAGTTGGTTAGGAATACAGGCTGACTAATATAACACGCATCTTCTGCTGGTCAACACCTTCACAAACCACCCTGACAAGTAGTGGTACAATTCTCTTTGAAAACAGTGTTTTGCAAAGTGGCAAAACAAACAAGAAAACAGAAACCTTACATTAGCAGCTTTTTGTAGTGATCCATCTCAGCTGTTACCTTCTGCAGCTTGTGTTCAGTGGTCTCGATTTGATTAGTTAAATCTGAAACCAAAAACACAATGTTTATGGCACTCCCTGCAATGCACACCACAGACCCACGGTTCCCAGCTGCCACACAGGGGCTCAGCACCTCCAGCCACCCCCTCACAAAGCAGCTTTGTCACTTGTGACACTTGGTTTCCCACTGAAATATAAAAAAAAAATTCTAAATATACTGATAATTTTGCTTAAAGACCATAACGCTGCTATTAAAAATACCATAATTACAAAAAAACAGATAAAGATCCCTCTGTATGAATATTTTGTTGCAATGCCTATTTGACTCATGTGATGTAAGTTCCTTATGTTTGAATGGAGTGAATACTTACTGTCTTTTCATGTGGATGTTATTCATCATAGATATTCACAAACCCATTGCACAGAGTCACACAAAAGGTAAAACTTCTCTCAAAGTCAGGGCTTCCTAGAAATATCTTATGTTATTAGCTTTCTAATATTTTCTGGCTTTCTAATATTTTCTGGCATCTCTTGTTCAAGCTGATGAATTTTAGAGGCTTGGAGCAGGAAAGGGTGTTGATGGAACATTTCCAGGTGAATCACTGCCATCCCACTTCTTTGGCATTCCTCATAAAACTGTCAGCAGAGCGAAGGATCTCAATGCATCCAATGGGCGTGGAAGGTTTCCCACTCTCAGCAATGCTACTCTAGTACATGGCCTTTCTATGAGTTATTAGCAGCCTTCACACTTTTGCCAAACTCCATGCAACTCAGAATTTCTTTTTCCCATTCCATAAAATACATAAGTAGGAATTAATCTGTATTAAACTTTCACTATCTGTATTCAGCAACCAGAGAGTACCTACCATTCACATTACGCTTTCAGAAGCTCACAGAATCCAAGGGAGCAGTTTGGTACATTTCTACTTGAACCCACACTATCATGGCACTCAGACAAGGAAGTCTCAGAAATCCATGGAGACTGACCCTCCTCATAATATATGAAGAAGACAGTTTCAACTTAGTGGCGAGATCTGCTTTCCCTGACAGCATTGAAAAGAAGTGGAAAGTGAAAAGGTCTGGCAACAGTTAAATTAAGCCCCACCAACAAATCAAGCTAAGGGCTGGCAAAAGTTAACCTGAACTCCATTTGCACTGTGCTCCAAACAGCACGCATCACCTCTGCAGCCCATTCTCTGCCCCATTTCTGTAGAAAAGCAGAGCAGGTTCTGTACAGGCACAGCACAGAGAACAGCAAGCACTCCTGCAGCTCCACTTGTACAGGCGTTCCATTGGCTTAAGGGAAGCTAACATCTCTCAGAACACGGTACATATGCTACCGAAGCTCTGCTCCCAGCAGCAGCACACACAGAGCACGTTCACACCATAAAACACAGCTACAGCCCAGCTGGGGGTAGCTCGAGGTGAAGAGGACAGTCAGGCACCTCTCTGAAGGCATTCCTCAAATATCACTTGGCCACTGTGCTCAGAGGCAGCAATCCTGTTTTACAGCAGATGAAACTGCTGCAAACCATTCAGCTGAAACTTGCTTCAACACTTTTCATCTGCACTCCACCACCTTCCTACTACATTGTGGTTGCATGTTTTCTTGTACGAGTTAAATAACCAGTGGCTTTCCAGGCATCAGAAAGGAATTCATCCTGTGACACAAGCTGCTGGTGCTTTGCTCAAGCGCTGCCGATGTGATGGGAAGGGTGCAGGACCACAACAAACAGCAAGTATGGCTAACTGCTCAGCAGAAACACTTGAAACCAACAGTTTATAACCTCTCAATGCTCTCCTGCTGTCTCAGCTGTCTCCCTGGAAGGTCAGCCACATTTTCCCTCTGTCCCCCAATAAAGAGCCCTGGAACATCCAAGCTTGCTGCCAAACAGCACCAAAGGAGATGAATCAATGACAACTTACAACTATTTAAAATCTGTGTTTGTGCTAGTGTTCTTGTCAAAACTCCCTCTAGGTGGGTTTCAAAAACCTCCATGACAAACCCCCAGCTCTGCAGTCATTGAGTTATTTGAGTTCTGCTATCTGCATCAAAAAGCTGCATAGCATTCACCAGGCCAGGCCGAAGTGTTTCTGCTCAGAGCAGCAGCTTCCCCTCCTCCAGAAACGGGAAGTCATGGCCAAGAACACCAAGGATATATCAGACCACCTGCAGTTACTTTCGTTTACTTCTGTGTCTTCACTGAAGCATTCTTCTGTAATGTATTGTTCTGTACACTTTTCCAAAGAGACATAATTCAACTTTAATTTCCTGTCATTCATCTTGACATTGGCTTATGAAATAGATGGTTCTGAATGCCTACAGAGAAAGATTGGCTTCAAACACTAAGCAGATGTTAGACAGAACATGTGGGAACAATCTGAAATTGACAACAACAAGCTCTGCTGCAATGTGGCTGCTTTGTTAAAACAGATTAAGTAACGATCGAATTGCTGTGGAGCAATAAGACAAGGAGAGCCCTTTGCACGGGACTGGCTGCTACAGACCAGCTTTTCAAAGATCTGAATTTAACAATTTTTTCTTCTAAGTCTGTAATTATAGAAGATGTCTAGCAATTATGAACAACTATGTCTTTTTCCCCCTCTTTCTAGATGCGAGAGGGTGGACACAAGTTGCCGAAAAAGGAAAAGGGCTAATGCTTAATTTGGTTCGAGTACTTTGGGTGGTCTTTCAGCTGTTTCTTGTGTGATTATTTGTTTTGTTTTTGTAATGACTGAGCATTGGATGGGAGCTTTTCACAAGGGAGTAGATGGATTCAATTATACAGCTGGATTCTTCAAGTCTTCTCAAAAGAGAGTTCCCAAAGTCAACAGGAGCTGCACAGCAGAAAGTCTGAGGGATCAGACATACCTACAGAGCCTACATAACAGTTCTCTACCACGTTTGAGGGACACAGCAGAACTGAGGGCACTAGTGAGAGTTACAAATGCTTTGTAACTGAAACACACATTAAAGTTTTCAGTACCATCACATTTTAAAGGCTCTTCAGTCCAAATACATCTCAATATTGCTCATTCTGCTCCTGTTCAGTTTTATTATATTACACCAATCTTTATTATAACTTACCACAGACATTGACCTTCTTCCTAAACTAACCTTTCATAGCTCCAGAAGTAGTTTGTTGCTAAAATCCCTAGGTATATTCTCAATACATTCCAGACACTGGCCAGCTTGTTTCAGGCACCAAACAAGAAAAGACAACTTTTACTGGATAGTAGGTAGAACCTTAGAAAATGGTTTGATTGTTCTTGATGTCCTTAGTCCATTCTTTTTAAGATGATTTGGTATGTTCCACTTTTTTTTTTTACTGGTCATCATAGGAGGAATGTATTTATCAACTGTATTTATTGGAGAAAAACCAACCTTTCAACAACACTTGAAAGAAATAGACATTTCTTTCAAAAATGTAGAAAATAGAGATTTTCTTTAGTGACCAGTCACCCATTTTATGAAATATCAGAGCAAGGGAGATTCTCTGAGACTCATCTTTGAGGCCTACTTGGAACATAGGAACCTTATCATCCTGTGACAGCTGAGGTTTTTGTCAAGCTTCCAGGCAGCACGCGTACTCAGCTCTGTCTTCAAGGAGTGCCAAACTGTGGCTAAGAGGTAGCACTCTTACACCTTTGTGTTTCAGCATTATCATACCTTCCAGCAGACACAGCACAGAAGATGCACAAAGAAAAGGCATTCTGGAGAACCACAGCTGGTCATCATTTCCTCCTAACTGGGTGAATTCCCATACTTGCAGTCCACAGTGCTGAGAGCAGCGAGTATGCCTGGAAATGGTTTTCAGGAACTCAGCCACCCAGTTTGTGGCCTTTCCAGATGCCCTGCCAATGGCACAGAGTTCAGGGAAGGCTCTAGTTTCTGATTTGTAAATAGCAACAACTGGTAAAGTTTTCAGTGAAAAAAAACCAACAAAACAAACCCACCCCACTGTGAACTACGCTCACATTGGGTAAGCAGCCACTCTAAAAGCCATCAATTTTCCAGATAATTTGTAACAGATTCACAGTGATATCAGTTCAGAAGCACGCATGGTGAAGCTATGCAATTTTCTACTCCTCCTGCAAATCCTACCAAAAACAAAACAAAACAAAAAAACCCCACCAAGATACTTTCTGAAAACTTCAGTCTCACCTAAACAAAAGCTCAGTGTTTCGTCCATGTACACAGAAAGGAAGACTATTTGCCAGCAATTAAGAGTTTCTGGAGAATTTCACAAGCACAGCTTAAACTCATACTGCCACTGAAGCCTTGTGGACCCCAGTCATTGCTGGAGACCCTCCTACCTTAGCAGGACCTGCTCAGCTGCTGGTGCACAGAAACTCCTCAGCTTAGCTGTGCTCACGGTATGAATGTACCCTGTATCACTGAGTCTCAGGTCTAAAATGACTGTTGCCTAGCTGAAAATAAATGCACGCCAACAAAGTTTCTTTGCACCCAATTTCAGAAACGTGGGCCACACTTTTCCTGCTACCTGGCTAGAGATACCAAGCAAATGCGTTTACTGGTTTTTAGCACGTTGCTAAAATCAGTGCAGGGAGAAAGCAGTTTCATTTTCCCTTCACATAAGCATGCTTTGGGGAAAAACTGGGAGGTATTCTGCTTTGAGGACAACACGTTGTGACTCACTACCTGGTCACTGATGAGCAAGCCCTGCTGGGGCAGCCCCCTCCAAGCACCCTCAGAGGTGGGAGGGCTGCGTAGGCCCCACATGATGTCCTAAAGCAGCACTGGCCAGAAATACCCACACACACACCAGCACAAGGGGCAGGTAGAGACAGCTACTTGTACAACAATTTCAGACTGAAGTGGTTTTAATCTCATCAAACTTCACGAGGCTCTCATAGTGACTCAGCCAGGCGCAGCCACCCAGACTGGCTATAAGGGGCCCCTGGCAGCTGCCCAGCTCAGCACACTGCTCACTACCAACCAGATGAGATCACCCAGGGTTGTTCTGCCAGTTCCTGCAGATCTCCCCCACCCTCAGGGCAGCCTCTGCCCATGCTGCACCACA